ACCCTCTTCCAGCCAGTTTTTATAGTTCACTAAGTGCCCTTTGAAATCCTTTCTTTCTCTGAAATGTTAATTTGCTTAAGAAGATGAATGTTGCAAACTTTTGGGTTTTTTGTAAGGTTCTTTGTAGGGTTGGGTGAACCTAGGGGTCCACGTTTGCTAATAGGAGGCATAGCACCAGGCCTATGTCTTTCTGAATGCAGAGGTTGAAGAGCAGAAATTATTGATTAGACATGGATCTACAGAAACAAGCTAATTACTACTTTTTAAAAGTTCGGTCACTTATCTTAAACTTTTGGCCTGTGGAAACCTTTTAGTCTCCACACTCTTTAACAAGCATAAAGGATCTTGTGTTAGTTTCAGCGTCCAGAGCCACATCTTCCTCCTTTTAATCAAGCCTCTCATAGGTTATTTCACTTCATTACTTTCTTCACCTTTCAGTGCTATTAGGCTTCATCTTCAGGGTGAGTCATTTTGGAGATTTATTAGTGGAAGGTTTGGGCAACTCCTTCGTTTGAGAATTTGAGAAACTCCTTCGTTAGCCTTGTATATCAATCAGTACAGAATATTAGCTGATATCTGTACATCAAAGGTTGAAGATTTATACATTATTTATTTATTCTGTTGTAGAAAAGCACAAGTAATTACATCAGTTTACCTGTAAGGTGTGTAGATTTTGATATACAACATTTTATAGAAATATACTATATTTATTTTATGTAAATATAATACTATAGTTCATTAGTAAAATAACACTTATAGTTATAAAAATAGATTCAAAGATGAATACAAACAATCTAAGGTAAATTAATATTTTCCTCCATTATCCACTCTAAGAGTTAAAACAGTCATTTAAAATATCAGTCAACAAGGGAAGCCCCAATCAGAGCCAAACTGACCCCTTCCCTAGACGTATGTGCTACAGAGGACAGCACTAAAACTACAGGTTGGGGAAAAGGGCCGGTATGCCACACCATGTCCACCGGGAAGCAAACCAAGAACGAAAAGGAGAGAGTGAGGGTGCAGACCCCCTATCGGCACACCAAGCCCACAGGATGATGTCCCTGTATGGAGCTGCTAAGGCACAGAGAGGTCTGCAGGGCCGACAACAGTTCAAGACATGAATTCCCCTCGCTGAAGCATACCACGACAGAGGACACATGGCAGGGAGCCCTCCAGTCTGAACCCCCCACAGCTGGATGAACCAAGAAGGGAATGTAACAGGTCAGCAATGGGAGCAAAGCAAAGCCACAAAGCCCCTGAGGAGCCCCAAAATTGACTTCAGGCTGGGAGGGGAAGGTCGTGGAATTCCCCCAGGACCATTGGGGAGATAGTCATAAAGGTCAGTGAACAGACTGGAATTATGTATGCTTTGGGTTTGTTTGTTTGTTCCTAGTTATTATCTTTTTCTGTTCTTTTTACTCTTTTTATTTCATTTTTTGTTTTCTTTTTGCTTTCTCTCTGTAATTGTTGGTTTTGCCTACCTATATAAGATAGGCATAGGAAGCAAGCTGGAGGAGAAAGCAATGGGACCGATGGTTCCGGAGGGACTTGCGGGGAGGAGACGGGAGAGGAGAGCAAACAATGCCATAGATGGGAACAAATAGGGTATTAAAATTGACGAGGAGGATGTAGAGATGCTGGGGGGTTTAGAGCAACAGCAATCTAGCTGAGAGGAATTACTAAGAGGCAGAAGAAGGGTGAGCATACTGTTGGGGCAGGAAGAAAGTAAAAGGAAACAGGAAATATCTAGGAAGTAAACCTATGGATAGAGGTGTAAACATAGGTGTGTACATATGTAAATACATAATTCATAAAAATAGAAGTCTTGGCCAATGTACATATATTTATATGGCAATACATGAGGTAGTAGATGGACTCTGGGTCTCTGCTTCAGGCCTGCCTCAACACAAGAACACTTTGTTTTAACAACCTCCCATTCTGTGATGCTCACACTCTGGCACAATCACTGAAGACAAAATGGGTGCATAAGCAAATGTGGTAAAGAAAGTGGATGGTTCCTGGTTATCAAAAGACATAGCATCTGGGGTCTTAAAGGCTTGAAGTTAAATAAGCGGCCATCTAGCAGAGAAGCAACAAGCCCACTTGGAATAAGCACACCATCCTGTGCGATCATGAGGCGTCAACAGGATCAGGTAACAGGCATCAGAAGACCCAAAGCAAATAAACAAACAAACAAACCCCCCACCTGTCCTTATTGTTGAGAATAAGGACAGGTGGGGGGTTAGAGCAGAGCCCTAAAATCTGTACACAATGGGACATCCTCTCACAGAAGTGTCACAAGCAAGGGATGGGTCAACCAGGGCACATTATAGCATCAATGAAACACAATATCCTTTGGTTCCTTGAGGCTTCCTCACTCCCCACTGTCATGACCCCAGTTCTGCCTTTCACTGCAGCTAGACTGGAGCATGTGCACAGGTACAGATAAGGCATAAGAGCTCACGACACATGGAATCCAGGAACAGGAATGGGAATAACAATACCAGGAGGGTAGCAGGAAGGTGGTGAGAGGAAGGAGGAACCGATTACAATGATCCACACATAAACACACACACCAACGGGATGAACAACAAAAACCATGGGAAAAGGGAGACAGTGGTCGGTGTAAGATATGAAAATGATAATAAATTATAATTTATCAAGGGATCATGAGGGCGGGGGTGTGGAGGGAGGGAAAACGAGG